ATATATATATATATTATGGATGACTGTTAAATAATTAAAAGATGATGAAGTGGGAAAAACTTTGACATCAATTGATAGTCATTAGTCAATATAGTAGAGTTCTTTAATTTGTTTCCTCATGTGAACTTTTTTTATAACAAAAGGATTTGTGAGAACGACATTAAAATGAATAATATTGTACTTGAAGACTCATCTCTCTATTTCAACCTTTTCTTTTCCAGATATATTCTTTATTGTTTGATTCATGGAAATTCTAGATTGCCTTTTCTCAACTTTGAAAGAGAGCAGCTACCCAACAAATTTTCTAGTATAAGAAAGGAAAGGTACAGAGTACAAATGGGATAGCAAAAATAACTTTGTGCTATAAAATGGCAATCTTTATTTGCATGACAACAATACAGGTTGTTGAATAGTTAAAAAAAAAGAAAAAAAAGAGAGAGTAAAATTTGAAATTTTTGTTTCAATTGGAAAAAATAAAATGAAATGAAATTCTATGTTCTTTTCTAGATGATGTATTGAGTTTTTACTTGAAATGTCTTTCCATGAGTAGATCCATTGTATTCATTTTTACATTTTTAACCTAATAATAAATACCAAAACAACGCCTCCAAAAAGTATTTCAAATGGTTAATTGTTTAAAATTTTAAGTTAGAGATCTCAACTTTAAGTCTTAAAATGAGTGAAGTAGAATTAAATAAAGAAAAAAACTATCATGTATTGTATAACCCATCATTAGATGTGAGAAAAATTAAACATCAAAACAACTACTTTGCAATTCAAAATTGCTCAAAACACTTGTAAAAATCAGAAAAAAAAAAAACAAAAATATGTAATATATAAAAATGAACAAAAACATATAAAAACATATAAGAAAATGATTGGTACGCCCTACAAAGTTACGCATTCTGTTAAACACTAACAGTTTTTGTTACTTGTGCAGTTAAAATTGACGGTTTCCATTATTTATGTCGTTAAAATTGACGGTTTTTATTATTTGTGACGTTAAAACTGACAGTTTTTGTTATTTGTGCTATTAAAACTAACAGTTTTTGTTACTTGTGTGGTTAAAATTGACAGTTTTTGTTAGTATGTAACCGAGTGTATAACTGTACAAAGTGTATGTATCATTGTCCAAACATATAATATATATTTTAAGAGACTGAGAAAAACTAAAATGTTTTGACAATTAAAATGCTAGGAATAATAATGAAAACACTAAAATACCTTTAATAAATTAACATGTAAGGAAGATTAATTAAGAATAGTGATTGGTATACATTTTGGTTCAACACATTACACAACACACTCATTAAAAAATCAATATTTTTTAATCTAAAATTAAAGGCAGACAAGTTTAAAGATACAATCATATATATAGGATGTAGGAATCAGTTGAATTAATTATATATATTATCTTTTTAATAATTGAATTGGAAGTGTTTCAAAAAATATGTTGAACCGATGATGTATAGATCATTTTTCATTCGTTAATGATATTTGAACAATTTCATAGGAGTTTTGATTTTTACTTTTATCATATTTTAATAACTAATTTATTTTAGTTTTTGCCTTATTTCTATGTTTTGGTACTTATTTGCAAAAAGAAATAGAATTCGAGGTGGAATTCAAAAGAAAAGAGACTCAAATGAATAAAATAGTAGATGCAGGTGAAATGTGCAAAAGTTGAAAAAAGGCCGCTGATTTGGACTCAAGAACAGAAAACCAGCCCACACAAGCAACCCAAGAGACCTACTAAGCAAGATCCACGGTCTCTTTTTAGTAACCAAGCCCACAAATCACAATGGTTGAAGGGGCTGGAATCAGAGAAGCCCGACCTAAAAATAATGGGCTTGTACCAATTGTATTTAATTCACTCGAACCCAACAGTTTGGACTAGCCCATGTAAAAAATAAATAAATAAATAAACCAGAACGAATACCAAACTTGGCATTTTAGGCATCTAGTCTTGTAGGGCATTTGGTAAAAGATGTGCCTCCTAGTCTCAAAAATTGGGTTTATATCCTTCTTATCTCAAAAATTATACTAGTTTAGAGAAAAAACTTAGATTTTTACGGTTTAAAAAAAAAGTTTTGATGTCAATTTTAATTTCTTACAAGATAATAGAGTATTTGTTTTGGGTGTTTTAAAAATATAATTCTTTATTTTAATCAAATTAATTAGATATTTTGAATTATAAAATTAATGATTATCATTAAATAATTATGAGTTGTAATTGAATAACCAGTCCAAATATTCTCAAGGATCAAAATATTGTTGTTCCCCCCTAACTACTAATTGGATTTTTGGTTTTGGCCAACAAACATGTTAATAATTTAAGTCAGAAAAAAAACTCGTTTTCACTTTTGTTAGAGAAACAGCTCTAACTTCTTCCCAAAAATCACAAAGTCCGTTTCTTCGTTCCACGGAGACATGCATACATTATTCATCCCTCCCGAAAACATCTCGTGTCCTTACCTTTCAATTAATCCTCGTTGTCCTCCTCCCACATCTAAACCTCTCTTCTTCCATTTGGGGTTTGGATTCCTTGTGTTTCAATCTTCGAGTTTTCCAGTGAGAGATTGAAAAGGGAGATTCCTAGCAGTGTCCAAAGATTCTTTAGGGTTCTTCATTCTCTGTTCAAGTAAGTTCATCTTCCTTATCATTCCTAATCTCTTTTTTTTTTTTGGTTAAAATCTATCAAACATTTCTATGAATTCTGGAAAATTTTTAAAGAATAAATAAGTTAATTATGCATCTTCAAATTTAAAATAAAATTTTGATATTTGATCCAATTGATCATAATTTTTATTTTAATTTTTATAAATTTATTATTTCTGAATATAAAATATTCTATATTAATTTGTTAGTGTCTATTGATATCCTCAGTTCTTCCTCTAAAATTATATACTGATTTTCATTTTCTTGTTTTTCCTAATTTTCTGGATCAGCAATTTGCCTAAAACTTGGTCAGCCATGGATCCTAAGAACGCGACAGCAGAGCTTGTTATTAGGCACAAAGATTCTTCGTCTTCGTCTTCGTCAGGTTCCTCACAGGAAAACATTGTCCTCGAACAATTACCCCTACAAGACCATCAAAGTTTTTCTTTTGTCAGCTCCGCCGGAGATTCAGACAGACAATCACCAGCAGGCTATGACCCGAATCGGATTCCATCATCCATCTTTTCCAGTAAACCTACAAGTCCCATGGATTGGAGCGTTGCATCCAATGAATCATTGTTTAGTATTCAGATGGGGAACAACAGCTTCACCAGGGAACAATATGCTTTTATGTTGTATAAATCAGGGGAATTGTCCAAGGCAGAGGAGCTCTGCAATGTACAGGGAAATCAACTGCCACCCGTTCAAAAAAAGGAGAATGTGGCTACGATGGGGGGCGACGTTAAGGAGGAGAACTTGGGAGTGACAAGAGCTCCGGTTGATGCTATAAAGGAGGATTCTGGTGGTGCTAAAATAATGGAAGAACATGAGATGGAAAAAGTTGCACCGGTTATGGAGGCCTCTAATTCAACTCTATGTGTCTCTACTCATTCTGATGGGAACGGAAGTAATCACAGCACTCAATCCTTTGCATTCCCAGTGTAAGTTGACATGCTTAACGTTACCTTCTATACACTAGAGATTAATATTGTTATTTTCAACTTCAAATATTAAACTCGTAACTTGCACAAGATAAGACTTGAATCTAATAGCGTTTCAAAACCTCAACTTACCGCTATACCAAGATTTCATTGGCGTGACTATGGTGTGAAATTTTAAATTTTTGAGTGGAACTGTTTTTGACGCTATTATACTGGTCATTGCAGATTGGCACCTACGAGCGATAATGGAAGAAACTGCTCTGTCAAGGTAGACCCAAAAGACCATGAGGCACAAAGGCAGATGCAGTCACAGGAACAACCGATACCAAAGCAGTCTCTGGGAGAGGAACAAGTGCAAGCAAAGGCTTCGGGTCGTCGATGGTTTTCTTGCTTCTCTTGCTGCCCATCACGTTGTATTTCATAATCAATATCCTTAATTACTTTATCTACTTTGCTTGCAATATAAACTCATCTACTACCTTGCCTCATGAAGCCTCCCAAAGGGGAAAGAATGCCCTTCCAATGTTTAAATGTATAGTTTCATTTGAAATATTTGTTTCTTTCGACTGTATATATATGAGAGGCAGCCGCCTTCATGTGTCCAAAAAACTATGATTAGAGAGACTAAAGTCCTAAGAAAGCTTGAGAGATCTACAACTGAAGATCTATATAATTGTAAAAAGATTTATTTGCTATCGATTCTCCAAGTCCAAAACTTGATTCTGAAATCTAATATTGCTATTGTGTTTTTGCCTTGAATGGAGAGTGCATGGAGCCATCAACATTCTAATATTGTGTTTCTGCCTGGGTTTAATACCCAGGTATAGTATCTCCCACTTCCAAAAAAATCTCCTAGTTCAAAAAAAAAAGAAAAAAGGAAGTCAATTGTTTGTTTGGTTACATTGATGATGCCAGGAGTCTATTACTGGAATATGAAGGTTGATGTTGCCCAATTATAATTAACAGTTAAGTAATTCCTTGCGATCGTCAAGCATTTTTTTTTTATTGATAAAAACAAGTGCTTGCTTAGTTTCTGTTTATACCTAATCTTTTAGATTATTTGTTTCAATTTATGTTAGTGGAAGAAACTAGTATTATCAAATTAAAGAAGTCATGGATCAAATTAAGCAGGCTGTTAGGTCCAAAGTAAAGAACATGGGTAAAGGCTCAGAAAAGCAAATTTGGACATGGTTTGACAAAATTAATGCATCTTTCTTGTCATCATTGGATATTTAAAGATAATAATATCATTATTATTATTATTTTTTGAACATTTTATCATGAGGCCGGCTCGAACCGTTATCCTGGAGAAAGGAATATGAATCTTACTAACGTGGCTAAAGTCACTTGCCCAAGGGGTCAGGTTAGATAATAATATCATTATTAAACTTAACTTTATAATAATTTATGTGGATCTCAGAAAAACTTTATAATACTCAATCCAAAAAGGAAGAAAAAAAAAAGAAAAAGAAAAAAGAAAAAAGAAAGAAAAAGGAAAAGCTTTATAATATAACAAGTCAGACCACATCACCTTTGCATCACCTTAACGTAATAATTTCACAATATTATTATTATTACCTTATCCAAAAAATAGTTTTTTTCCATTGCTGTTGTAGCGGTAATAATCCTTTTCTTTGCCCAAGTGCATATCTTGAAATTAATTTAAGCTTACCTTAAAATTAATTTTTTTAAATTAATAGTACTGACTTTTAAATTTAAATTATGTACTTAATTAAGAAATGATACTTATTTATCAATAAAATCAATTATTGTTATTTATTACATTTGAAAAATAAATTTTTTTTAAAAGATTTATCTATCTTGTACCTTTGAACCACAAGATAATGAGTAATTATTGATTAATAATTATTATTTTTTATTTTAAAAATGATGAAGTTAACTTTTATTTCAATAATAGAATTATGTATAAATTTTTTATTATTTTATTTTATTTTT